TTTTCTCCAAGCCCTTTAATGTTTACTTAAACAGTTGAGGCACAAGCAATAATAAAACTGGATTTTTTACGTTACAAGACTTTGTATGATATCTGCATGATATACCAATTTTCTCATAATCTTCCACAGTAACATTTCATTAAGATTCTGGTCCATAGGTTGATTCAACAAGGTCAGAAAGACAAGCAGATGGTAAAAACATCAAACTTACTGAGGGGTAAGAGGAATCAAAATTTACTGACTGCCTACTGTGCGAACTACACTGGTTTTACACACTTTACATAAATGCGAATGTAAGTTCTAGTTATCTGTTAATAGAACAACATTGCTACAACCAGGTAAGTGTATGTTTTAAATGTTCTTTAAGTATAAACTGTGAACCCAAACAATTTACCTTTGCTCAAATAAGCATGTCAACGTGCACTAACGCATTTTCTATTTCCACAGACTTTTTGTTTTATAGGTATGCAATATTAAGCACATGGAAACATTCAAGCTGTTATTACTTCCCTTAAATCTGTTTTTTCTCCCCCCCTTCTTACCCACTGAGCACCATTTGGCCAGCATCACCACAACCACCTGGTTCTATCACTTTGGAACACTTAAGATGGGACCAGGATAGTGTTTAGCAATATTTCTGGGGGGAAAAGAGCTGATTTCTAAAATTAATACAGCTAGCTTTCAAACGTGGTACCTAACCTTAAAGCACCAAAGCTTTCATCGAAGTAAGAAAATATACACGGCCTCATCAGCTGTAAAATCAAGACATCCCTGCCTTTCCAAGTATTAGATTAAAGCCAGCTATTTTCAGAGTCAAGTAATGCCCCAGCTCATCCTGCGTTAGTCCTCAAGCGCACAGTATTCCCACCCTCCCCACATCTAAGGTGCCCCCTTCACTCCTCCAAACAAGCCCTTACTTTGAGGGGCCCATTCTTTCCTTGCTGACCTGTCCACCCCCTGCTTCCTTTCCCACCTTTATTCTCCCTCTGTCACTCTCTATTGATGCCTGGGTTCATACAGAATTGTTTCTTAGCTGCCTGGTCAATCCCTGACAATTACCATGACTTTAGATTTGGGACCCTATCAGTAAAAGTGACCGACTCGCATGTTTATTATACTGGTCATTACCTCAAAAAGGACACTGTGTATCGCCAAAAAAAAGCACTGTTTAAGGGTTCAGAATCACAAACCTTCAAGGTACTGAGGAAGAATACGCAACATGTGAGTCCCTAGTCTAACGTTCACATTTTATAGTGAGACTAGAGGACAGTTTAGAGATGTAACATGATTCATCCAAGGCTGTGAGGTTAAACATAAGCAGAAACTACAACAGTATTCCTAACTCTTTCCACTATACCACAAAAAACCCAAGGTTAATAACAGTTAAGTCTATAAGTACACCAAAATAGAACACCTGGTACATAGGAAAGTCTTTGGGATGGCTCCACAGATTTTAGGCAGGGTAAAGGCAATCTGTACAGTGCGAAATGTTACTCAGCTCAACAGATCCACACTAAATACAAAAGATCCTTACTCTCAGTTCTGAAACTGAAACTGTGATTGCAGATAATGTCACGATGTGAGAATAAGAAGTCCCACCAGCTCCATTCTTTTCAATTCTTCAGCCTCAAGGCTTACCTTACTTTTCACTGTTTAACAAGATAAAATTAATCAAGTTGAAGCAGGATTAAGGAGGTACACTGAAAATAAAAGCAAAAGGGAACCCACGTTTTACAAGCAGATCGTCCCAGTTACCTTAAAGGTTAAATTTCAGAATAATTTACAGAGTATTGACAGAACCACGTAATTTCATTGAAAATCAACAAAACAGTTATACCATTAAAAAAAGGTCAGTTCGGAAATACTAGGTCAGGCGAGCATGCAAAATCCAGAATAAACAAAAAAATGCAAGACCTGGTTGCCCACATATACTCCTCAGGTGCAGCTGAATAAAATGTGAAATAGAACCAAATAGAAGCTGAAAGGGACACTTCAGAGATCAGCAGACCAAATCCCTCAATCAGTAATGAGGAAGTGAGCAGACATGAACTGTGAAGCTCACAAGGCTAGGTTAGGGCGTACAAAGATCTAATTCCTGGTGCTATTTGCAACTACATATATCTAAAATACAAGGAGATACTCAAAACACACTAAGCCCACTGATTTAAACAAAATATTTTAAGACTGACACACGGGGTGGGGAGGGGGTGAAGCTGTTAACACAACACAGCAGCATACCTCACAGTTACGTTTAAGAGATTAAATGGAAACGATCACTCAAAAATTTTAATGCTCAGTTTTCACAATCACAATCAAGTCTCTTACAGCAAAATGTACTAGCCTAAAAATGTGCATTCTTCAGCTTTCTCCTACACTTTTTTTGTGTGCCTATGTTTCAAAACTGAGCACTGGGTAATTTTAACATACGTAATGTTATATATACATTTTAGTTGCATGTTTTAGGAATAAACAAAATCCATATTTCAGTATCTCATAGTTTATAGGATGAAAAGCTCTCTATCAAAATACACCTTTCACTGGGAAAAATAAATAAAACATACGAATGGATCTACACAAAGTAAACATTAACTTTGGTAGATTTCAGTGTGGAGTAGTCCATAACAAGCATCTCTGCCCTTACTCCCCCAGAACTGCTCAGCCTCCAAGTTTAGAATTTTTAGAACATTTTAAACCGAGATCTTATCATGTTGACATTTGTTTCTCATTCCACATCATCTTCAGCCAAGCTCTGAGCACTTACAATTCTCTGACTAATTGTTGGGAGCTTAGTCAGAAGCATCTGGAACACTGGAGGTGGGAGAGTTTGCTGTAACACCTGCAGTAACTGCTGTGGCTGTCCACAGACAGCATTTGCATTTGTTAGATGGTCTACACCCTTCTCATATTCACCTTGAGCTAGTAACTCTTCACCCAGCTGTATTTCTTCAAGGAAGAATTTCTGAACAGCTTCAGCATCTTTAAGATCAGGTAACTTGGAAAGCCCGGCTCTCTCCTTGGCAAGCTTCTGTCTCTTTCTCCGTTCACGGAGCCTGTTCTTGAAGTTGGGGTCACTCCGTCGCTTGCGGTCGAAGTAAATGCAGTACCCGATGAAAAGGGCCCCGCACACGCCGGCGGCGATGGCGCTGTTCCGGCCCACCACCTTTTCTCGGGAGCTGAGGGCGGACGGCGGCGGCGGAGACCGCAAAGGAGCGGCTGGCCGCGAACCCTCAGAGCTGAGGGCGCCGCTCAGACCCGACGCCCACGGCCCAGAGACGCGGAAAGGCCGAGGCCTGAAGAATTTTAAAGGCTTGAAATATACAGACTTTGAGCTTCTTGAGGTGAGGATTGTGTGTTGTTATTTGTGTGCTCTCTTAGCCCTACCGCAGTATATGTATACAGTCACTGTTCAATACAGATCTGTCCAAACAAATTAAATTAACCTAGTAGGACTTTTTAAAGGTTAATTTATAGCATTTTATATAGCATTTATGAATACTTTTGATTGATCTTGGGCTCATTGTAGTAAATGCCTTAAAAGAGCTGAAAATATACACTTAAGAGTAAATGAAAAAGTTTTTTTCTTCATCATCAATGCAGTATAAGATAGAGCAGTATAATTAATAAATGTGAATTAATGCTTAACCCAGTTATCATAAATATATGTGTGTGCATAGATATACGAGAGGAGAACCCAAATAATCTGGAATTATCTTTTTGGAGGGTGGGCTTTGCCCACTAGATAAGTGTTCTAGGAACCCGTTGCCATCAGTGTATCAGCTAGCATTGCTGTGAGAGGCTGCATTTGGCTTCAGTGAATTTTTTTTTTCAAGATTCTTTCAGTGTGATTGCCCATTTCTTGATAGGTGATTAGCAAGCACACCTGCCCACACCACACTGAGTGTTTAGCAGTCTTTGACCAAAACAGCATGATTCTCATGCTCCAAGTGACTTTTTCATTGTTGGTTGTTCACTTTCTTGGTTGAAAAAAGTCCTCAAAGGTAAACATTTTCATATATTTTGCCCACTTTGTAACGGGACTGGTTTTCTTTTGTTTTGTTTTGTTTCTTTTTGGCACGTTTGAGTTCCTTGTAGATCCTAGATGTTAGGCTTTTGCCAGACAGAGAGTTGGCAATATTTTTTCCCAGTCTGTGGGCTGTCTCCCTGCTCTCTTGATGGTTTCTTTGGCTTTGCAGAAGTTTGTCAGTTTGATGAGGTCCCACCTGTCTATCTTATCTCTTATGGCATGGGCACTTGGGGTTTTGATCAGGAATTGGTTGCCAGCTCCAATTTCCATAAGGGTGTCTCCTGCATTTTCTAAGGGTCTTATAGTTTGAGGTTTTACGTTTAGGTCTTTGATCCATTTAGAGTTGATTTTTGTGTATGGGGATAGGTAGGGGTCTTGTTTTAATCTTCTTCATGTGGTCAATTAGTTTCCCCAGTACTATTTACTGAATAGGTTCTCCTCTCCCCAGTGGCTGGTGGTAGAGGCTTTGTCAAAGATGAGTTGGTTGAGAAATTGAGGTTTTGCTTCTGGAATCTCTATCCTTTTCCACTGGTCTATATGCTGTTCTTTTGTTGTTGTTGTTGTTCTCGTACCAATACCAGGCTATTTTAGGTTTGAATAGACACTTCCCAAAAGAAGACATACGAGCAGCCAACAGATACATGAAAAAATGCTCAGCCTCACTAGTCATCAAAGAAATGCAAATTAAAACTACACTGAGATACCACCTAACTCCAGTCAGAATGGCCATCATCAATAACTCAAAAAACAATAGATGCTGGAGAGGACGCGGAGAGAAGGAAACACTTCTACACTGTTGGTGGGAGTGTAAGCTAGTACAGCCTCTGTGGAAAACAGTGTGGCTATTCCTAAAAGATCTAAAAATCGACCTTCCATACGACCCCATAATCCCCCTACTGGGAATATACCCCGAAGAACTCAAATCACTCTATAAAAAAGAAAACTGCACATGTATGTTTATCACAGAATTGTTCCCAGTAGCAAGAACACAGAACCAACCATTCTGCCCATCAAAAGAGGACTGGATTAAAAAAATGTGGTACATATACACAGTGGAGTATTAACAGCCATGAAGAAGGACAAAATCATGAACTTCACAGCAACCTGGAAGGACTTAGAGTCTATAATATTAAGTGATGTATCACAGAGACAAAGACCTGAGTATCACATGTTCTCATAAGCGGACCTTGAACAATTTTCGTAATACTAGAAGAAAAGGATTGGCAGTTGCAGGAAACTTCCGGGAGTTGGGAGCGGAACTGGCAGTATTAGGAGACACACTTCATCCACAAGGGTACCTGCATAATGAACATTTGTATACCTAACCCTGAATTGTACCCCACATCTTGAAAATAAAAAAATTTAAAGAGAAAATAAATAGATAAATAAAAATTTAAAAAGATAAACATTTTGCCAATATGGAAGAGGTGAAACAAAAAATGGCAGAAGCACTGAAAGGCATCAACATTGATGAGTTCAAAAAACTGTTTTGAGCAATGGAAAAAGTGTTTCAATAAGTATTACATCAGATGGCGAGCACTTTGAGGGTGACCAAAGTTTAAATATGTAAGAATAAATACACATTTTTTTGTAAATAGATTCCAAGTTTTGGGGGGTCCACCCTTATATATACACATATATGGCAACATTGTGAACACAATGTGATAATCTCTAAAAAATCAACTAGAACAAAAGATGGTTTTTAATATTACAAATTCTTTGATTTGATCCGAGGAAAGGAGAAGGGAGGTTGTTGTATTTCTAAAATGCCATCAATTAATTGCAAGATGCACCATTGTTTTATTTACCATTAAGAACAAAAAAAATTTCTGCCAATTAACTATGACTCATTAACAACTATACATTGCATTTCAAGTTCAAATAAGTTAAAATATTTTTAAAAATAAAAAAAAAACTGCACCTCAGAATTGATGAGATGTGATGTGTAGTAATCCTGATTAGTAGTGATCATGCCCTATCAAGGTAATGATCAGGTACTTGCTTCATTTTGTCCTAAATAGAAAGTAAAGGAAACTGAGTTATCATTGAACTATGTTCCCTGCCTGGTCATTATTTTTTTCTATATTAATAGTAAGCTCCCATGTATCTAAATTAATTTCTAAAGAATCTATCATTCTATCTTTGAAGTAAGACAGAATTGTCGCTAGGCCATAAAGTTACCCCAAACATTGAAATCCATTTTATTGCAGAGAGATTAACATGCATTTTTCTTTCCTGGGAGGCGGTTAAGAGTAGTGGCTTAGAGTATAAACCTTATAGCCAGACCAACAAATCTTAATTCTTCCTTTCTAGCTACAAGTTATCTAATCTCTCTGTGCTTTGGTTTTCTTATCTGGAAAATGGGGATGGCAGTAGTACCACCCACCTTATATAATGAATCAGTGAGTTTACATAGGTAACGTGCTTAAAAAGTATCTGATATATGTAGTATTTACCAATACATGTCAGCATTTATTTAGCATCACTATTGATTCTCAGAGGGGGTGCAGGACTTCAAGAAAATATATTTCTTTTGTCCTTTTCCTACTGTAGCCTGCAAAAATATACAGACTAGTGGAGGAAAACTGTCTTCCTAAAATCTGACCACATAGGCCAATTATTTTATAAAATGTCTTTCAGTTTGTGTTTGTCTGAGGTTTCCTTATAATTAGATTCAGGTTATACATTTTGGGCAGTACCTAGCAATATGTACACATGACATCACATCAGGGGGTCTGAAAAATCAATCTGTCTTAGTACTGGTGATGTTAACTTTGATCATTGATTAAGGTTTATACATTTTACAGTTACTATTCTCCTTTTTGTAATTAATAAGTAACATGATAATCTACCCTTTTGGGACATGTGGAGATATCCAGTTTGTCATCAAACCTTGTCAACTATTGGGTTTAGAGTCCACTGATGATTCTTGATGGATCAATCATAACTGTAGTAGCAACAAAATAATGATTTTGTTTCAAAACAATATATTTTTAACTCCTCCATTACATTTACATCTATTAGTTGAATTTTATTATAAGAAAGAGATTTATCTTATCTTCATTTATGTATTTATTTATTTAATATCAGTATGGGCTTAGTATTCTTATTTAATTCAAGGGGCTATGATCCATTATTGTCCTTAATATCCCTTAACATAGAATCCCTTTCCGAGGCCTCGATTTTTGAAGGAAACTTTAAATAACCCAGTGTCAAAAGAGAAGAAGCCTCATCCCACTGTATAAACAGAACTATGTTCATTGGGAGAGTATCCTATCTTAACCAACTGCTTACTAAATACCAAATAAGAATAGCAGTATTTTTTAAAATAAGAACTGGAGCAAATGTTCACTGCAGGGCTTTGGGCAAGTTTCACTCTGTGCTATATCATATAGTCTGTTGATTTGTTGTTCCTTAGTCCATTCCTTTTCTTTTTTTTTTTTTTTACTTTTTTTTTATTTTAAAGATGTGGGGTACAATTCAGGATTGTGTATACAAGTGGTCATCATATAGGTAAAGTCTGGGCCTCCCTTTGGTCCCCACTTTGCCTGGTTTGAGATCAGGTATACCTATTGATGCTGTATCTCTCTCTACCCCCCACCCCAGCAGTATCCCACTACTGCCAATCCTTTTTTTATAGTATTATGGTAAATGTTTAGGGTCCGTTTATCAGTGAGAACATATGGTGCTGTTCTTTGTTTCTGTAATACATCACTGAGTATAGACTCTAAGTCCCTCCAAGTTGCTGCGAAGTCCAGATGTTTGTCCTTCTTTATGGCTGTGTAATATTCCATTGTGTATATGTACCGTATTTAAAAAAAAATTCAGTCCAGTTTTGATGGGCAGCACTGTTGGTTTCATGTTTTTGTAAGAATAACAGTATTTTCAAAGCTGTTATAGGTGCTATGGGTCCCGTATTGTTTTAAATGAGGTATAATTTAAATACAGTAACATTTACCCTATTCAACATACACACGTCTGAGACTTCTGAAAAGTTCATAGAATGGTTCATTAACCCCAAATGTCCTGATTCACCTTTATAGCCACCCCCTCATATGCTCCTCAAACCCTGGCAACTAATTTCCCATCCCTAAGGTTTTTCCTTTTCCAGAATGTCATGTAAATTGAATCATACAGAATGTAGCCTTTTGTGTCTGGCTTCTATCACTTGGCAGAATGCACCTGAGATTTTTTCTCTGTGTTGCTATGCCAGTGTACTTTGCTGCTTTTTCTTGCTGAGTAGTATTTCATTTTGTGGATGTTTCA